ATTCAATGCATACTTTTTAAATAAGAAAAAGATTTGCCCTTGAGGCGAATTAGCTGAGGAGTGGTCTGGCACTGTCTCAGTATGCTATCATGTCTTTCTCTCTTACATATCTAAGTCCCTTTCTTCCAGGTTGCTTAGAGCAGGGGCAAGACTAACTTTTTGAACGGGTAGCTTATCCACTAAGGCACTGATCTCCAAAGTGGGGTGCAAGTACCCCAGGGGGTACACAAGACAATCAATTCAAGTGCAGGAAGAAAATATTTTTTATACTATTAACAAATTAAAAAAAAAAAAGAACCCAAACTGTGTTTATTTCATCTTTATTTCATCCTTTTTTAATTTCTATATTTGGGTATGTTTAACAATGTATTTCGATGCTACTGCAGTAGTTCATCTACATAACACAAATAAATATACATCTGTTGAGGGTGTATGCTGAAAAATATTTTACTGCTTAGTAAAAACTAGTGAGTACTTGAAAATACCTTCACTCATAGACCCAGCCTGAAAAAATACAATTCCAGGAATCGATATTTCTTCAGCTAGGCTGAATTTGGCCAATTACCGCTCATGATTTTAGAAAAATATAGAGGCACCTACACCTCATTCCATCATACTATAGGTTTAGCTTAACTAGCCTTCTTGTAATACTCTTTTAATGCTCTTGACTAGCTTGTGTAGAAAAACTGAATTTCCGTTTAACACACTAGTTATCCAAAAGGCTAAAATAAACCATTCAAGACTCTTTACAGAATATGTCGGTTCATCACAGGGCATCCATTTTACTGTATAACACGGAGGAGAACAAAAGGCCAAAATATGAATGTTTGAAAACTCTGACCATGAGAAAAGCAAAAAACCCTTCTTTTTCCCCAGTATGTGACATTCTCTAGACTCCTTTTTGGGTTAGTTTTCATTATCTCAGAATAACTGTTTTCTGAGAAGATCAAAACCATAAGTAACCTCAGAAAAAAAATGCTTTGGTTTTAAAAAAAAGGGCTAGAAATCTAATGGGAAGAATTATTATTATCTAACTTCCAGCCCAGTTTAACAGATACAAGTGGCTTGGATCGTTCTTACAAACATTAGACTAGCCTTCAATTTCAGATGCTTTATATTAAGTTACTGTTAGGATGTGAGGATATGTTCTTAGCTCAATTTAAATCAGTGGGATTTTTGCCACAGACTCCAAGGGGGCCCTTACCTTCTCCAATTTTGCCTTAACAAGACATCAGTGTTTGCCAAAAACTTCAACTGATTTATTTGCAAATTATTGATAAAAATATTTGGCTTAACACGCAATGGGTTCAAATTTCCAGGTGGTATAAATCAGCATAGCTGCAGAACTATGCCAATTTAATCCACCTGAGGATGTACCAGTGGATTTTGTCCCATTTAAGACCATTCATAGTAGTAAAGTAATTGTTTTAAAAACTTCCTGGGTTTTTTTAGTCCAGGAAGCAGTCACAAGTGGTTTTACCCAGGGCTACCGCATTTTTTGTGGGTGTAAGCTGCAAATCAAGCACACCCATCCTTTCAAAAATGTATTATTCCTTGAAAGTAAGTACACAGCCTACAATTTTTATTCAGTCCTGACACCTCTCAGCAATCAGATGCTGTATTTAAATTTAGAGAACACAACTGCAAACATGTGTTTGCAACACTGCTTACAATAGAGAAACTTTGAGTTCATTTCTACTAAAAAGCTCACTCGTATTAGCCATTTGTGCAATTTTACGTTACTTGTTAACAACAAGCCACACCTGTGTAAGATCCTCTTTCAACCTCCTTTTTCAAAAAACTGTCTAAAGTAAAATCAATTAATTTTTACTTGGTGTAGTGTTTGTATGATAAGAGAGAAATTTGCCAGTTGAGGACTTGGGCATTTAATAGACTAGTTGAGAGAAAGAAAAGAGAAAGCCTAAAGAGAGAGAAAGAAAAATAAACAACATAACTTCAGCTCTGAAGTAGACTCTTCCCCCTGTTACTTCTATAGGCATATACATACTCCTATAGTACTTACTCCGTACTGCTGCAGAGTAGAAGAGGAAGGTTTTTCTAGCCAACCCTTAAGGATTTACGAAATGTTAGGAAATTTTGGTATTGGCCTTTTTAAAAAAATAATATAAAGCATTTGGAAGTCAAAGATTAAGCAACGTAAGATATGGGAGGGCAAATCCATGTCATAGTTAATAATTTATGATAATTATAAGCTCACATTTTTGCAGTGGTTTCTTGGACTAAAGCTCACATAATGCAAAATACCAGAAAGTAGAAAAAGAAAATCAAATTATCATTGCCTAACTTAATGAAAATGAATTTATCAGGTAGGAGTTTACAGCAGAGGAAGTTCTTGTTAATTGTTTTACTGGCAAAGTATCTTGACTTTGGATAAATCTTTGTTACTGTACTTTATAAAAGCACTAGCAGTTTGGATAAGAAACAGATATGTGAAAGCTTAAAACTCTTCACCTGCCTATCCTCCCTTTAAAATTCCAGCTAGCAAATGCTGCTTCAGAAATTTTAGCAAAAGGTGGCAGTGACCAGGAAGAGATATCTTTTAGTGCAAAACTTGTTTTTTCAGCTTCCACTCTGCCATACTCTTGTTTGAGTGCAAGTTCTTTTTACTCAGAAAAAACACACATGAAATCAAGTCATTATCCAAGTCTGTAACCATGCAAGTAAGGTTTGAAATAAACTCTTACAGAGGGTCAACTTCCCACTGGTTTCCACCAAGTAAGGACTGCAGAAGATCATAGAACAGTTTGGGCTGGAAGGGACTTGTAAAGGTCATCTAGTCCAACCCCCCTGCAATAATCAGGGACATCTTCAACTGAATCAGGATGCTCAGAGCACCATCCAACCTGACCTTGAATGTTCCCAGGGATGGGGCATCTACCACCTCTCTGAGCAACCTGTGCCAGTGTTTCACCACCCTCATTGTAAAAAATCTCTTCCTCATACCTAGTCTGAACCTACCCTCTTTTAGTTTAAAACCATTAGCCCTTGTCCTAGTGCTACAGGCCCTACTAAAAAGTCTGTCACCATCTTTTTTATAAGACCCCTTTAAGTATTGAAAGGCTGCAATAAGGTCCAAAATATTTCCCAAATTATCTTTGAAACATCTGCTAATGTCCCTGAAGTTACAACATCAGTTACTAACTTCGGTAAGCAAGTACTGACTGACGAAATGATGGATAAACATCAACAATCTGACTGTCAACAAATGTGGATTCACCACTATGTTTCACATATCCGAGGATTTATGTGGCCCATCTGGTTCTTTCTGAACTTTGCAAAACAGCAGAACTGCAAGTCAGTCATGCTCCATCCCTTTTACTGTGAAGGAAGAGAAATGAAGGGAGTTTGGTAAGAGCTCTAAAATTGATGCTCCAAGGTGAATTTTTAGTGTAAATCAGCTTTTCATCTCTTAGTATATATACATGTTCATTATCTTAAGTGATAAACTATAATGCAGAGTGAGTACTTCACTGATTTGACCCTGTCTTGCACTGTCTCTTCCATAAAATAATCAAGATCCACATAAAAAGTTAACCAGATTTTCTGTCCCATTACTGGTCCTTCAGAAGGCTGTTGCCTCACTGCTTTAATAGTTGGAAACCACTTTACAGGTCCCAGGTAAAAGTCTTGCAGGGTACTTCATGAGTGTTTTTCTTGTGCCAAAATTGACAAAGAGGAAACCAGTTTCTCCTCCACATGGCCTCAGAGGAACAGTACCACCTCCAGACCTTGTCTTGTTTGTCTAAATGAAGCAAATGTTAGCTGCCTTCTCTTGGAAAATATCTGCTTTGCCTGGTATGTTAGCTCTGACTTCTCCTGTGTATCAATTTTCCTGAACACAGGTGACCAGAATTGTATCCATGGTTCTAGATAAAATCCAGAAAAAATAATAGGGCTATCTAAAATAGCGTGAATGTTTCCTTGTCTGCCTTGCCTGTCCTGTTCCTGGCTGGGTGTTCCATCTTACCTAGCCTGGGTATGTTTTTGGGTCACGCTTCCCATTTTCACAGCCACAGTAATTGGATGGCTTACAGTTAATCTTATGACTGACTTGCATCTATGTAAAACACAACACATAATTATACATTATATAATAGTATATCATTCTTACTTCTTCCATTTTTATTATACCTTTCAATTAAATGTGTTTCATGGCAGAGAGTATTAATGTGTGCTTCATTCAAGATGAATTTCAACATTGATGGGCATGGTTAGTTCAGAATTATTATCTGAGTGGCTAAAGTGAAATAGTTTTCGTAACACAAAAAATCTGCCCAAAACATTTGCTTGTTTCTGGTTATTTACAACAGCTGACAGTGGTTCGTAATTTCCCTATAACATGGGCAATATCAGTAAAACCTGCCAAACCTTGAGTAATTCATATGCATTATGCCAAATTTAAAAATGAAGCAAGTCTACTGACTCCTGTGAAGCTCAACTATCCGGAGATAAGATCTCTCATGCACTTATGAAAAGTGTGAAAAAAATTAAAATTCTAATAAACATCAAGATTTATTCCTACAACAGAGAAGGATGAAACAATATTATTCTGAGATGAACTGACAAGAGTACTCTTGGAAAAAAAAAAAAAAAAAGTAAGTAGATACAATTTTTAGACTTCTTTGAAGATGGTGGCCAATTTCCGATGGATTTTACTAGAAGAAGGATTTTGAAGTATAGGCCGAGTTATTCTGGACATATTTGCCGACTTCTCTGGTATGAAAACAGCAAGGAATAACTCCAATAAGTAAATGTGACTGCCTTTAAACTACTGAGAAAAATGAGCCTTACTTTCTCCGACAACATCCCAAGACTCAGATTTACATACAAGCCAAAGACTTCAGCCAGTGGCAAATCAATATAGTGATATATAAAAGTTACACTGGTTTGCTACAGGGTTAGAAATTGCTTTCTAATTTATTGCAGTGAGTAAACAAAGCACTGGAATGCATGAAAACAAATTTATCTGCTTCACTGACCTTGAAGCTGGCGTCCTCTGTATAAATCTTTTGTTTTGGTTGGGTGAGCTCTGGCACCATTATCACACTTAGGTTGTTCATACCTACAGAACAAACAAGAAGAGAATAAAAACAGCCAAGGTTAATTTTATTTAGAACTACCTTATTTCCAATTTTGTTGTCCAAATTAAACTTGTACCTTCTTCTATTCAGGGAATAAGCTTGTTTTTCATTCAGAAGGGGTAATGCAAATTCATCTACCTATTTTCCACTAACCTCAAAGAAGCCAGCACATCTTTATTCTCCTGGGGTTGATACCAAACTAAGACATTATTGTCTATCCCAAAGTGCATTCTATAGGGAGGAAAACTGAGGAAGGATAAAACTGTAAGGAAATTACCATAAAAAAATACATCATAAAAAATAATTTGGAAAAAACCACCAAGAAACCACACAAAAACGAAGTCAGGCTCTCCTCCAACCTACCAAATCAAAAATTTATAAACAATATGACAAATTCTGACATTTGACACAGTATTCATGTTGGGAAACACCAGAGAAGCAATCTGAAAAACACAGCAAGGCAGGTACTGTAGTTAGTTACTACTGCAGCTGTAAAGAAATGTGTTGCTGTATCCTCTCCAAAAAAAAAAGTTAGCTTATATAAGAAGGACTAACCATGAACAGCTAACATTTTGAACAGGAGCAAAAAAACTGATAAGGTTTCCAGAAGGAAAGGAACTGGGCTGGAACAGCTTGAAATGGATTGTGAAAAAGACTGAATGTCCACCTGCTACTTGAATATTCTGTTTCCTCTACACTTTCTAAGTTTACTTAAGACTACTTGTTTAATCCAGCTGGTAGCAAAAGACTCTGGGCTATTTGTACTTCCAACAAACATTGACACACTAGCAATATTTTTTATGCAAGACTGGGAGGCATGGGAGCACCTGCTGCTGAATCTCTTTTCTTACAATCCCACTATTGATGCGTGGTAGCTTTTCACTTGGTTTGACAGAATCTCTTTCTGAGAAATTTTACTTTCTCATTCTCTTAAAGTAGCTTGAAGCCACAGAATTTAGTGTGCAAATTTCAGAAAAAGTTTCAGTTCTCACTTAACCACACTTAGTACATATGACTTCCGTCCACATACATGTGTGTGCACAGGTATACCTGTTAACTGAATTGAGCTTCTTTCACATTTCATATAACTGCTCATCTTTCTTTGAAATTCTCCTGTTCTAAGTTCCTCAAAATTACATTTACTGAGTAGCACACTAAAATGTCTAATTAAAATATACTAATCCACATTTTTGGAACAAAATATTCTTTTTAAAAGCATTAAATGTTGGACATGTCCTAGGCCCAGGTCAAGCTGCCCTTAAGAACAACACCTAGGTATTCTGAACCTAATTTCAGGTAAAATGGAGAAAACCAATATTGTTTTTCCTTTGAGTGCTTAATTTATTTTCCTATCATGCACTGAAACTGCCCACTTGGCCCATCAAACTTTGGCTGCTGCAAGAAGGCACAGTTTTATTTCATGGACATGGAAGAGCTACAGGCACTTTTTTTCTCCTAAAGAATGGCAGGAATAGAAGCTGCTTTAATATCATGGGTTGGATTCAGATACCTGATGGATGACCACTCAAGTCAGACAAGAAAACAGTAAAAGGGAAATCTCTGAGCACCACTCACTAATGCAGTATCTGGCACCCAGCCTGGTCCCCGATTAATCTGACACCGGACTCTGCCTTCCCCTCGTCCTCTTCCATTATTGTTACTGCTCTGTGCCTACACTTGCTTTTTTGGCCTCTACTCTTCTACACTTCTGGCTTATATTTCTGTTAAATACACATGTAGTTCATCATACACAAACGAAATCTATTCAAGACCAATAGGTGTGAAAATGCTGTAATGTGAAAGTCCACATTTAACTCTTTAAAGCAACCGAGAAAAGACTAAACGAATTATTAGAAATTTACCTCACAGGTGCAGCCATGGTAAGAGCTGATAAGAAAAACACACTTGCCTCAGTTTTCATGGGAAACAGTGGGAAAGGGATAGCATGTCAGAATGGAGTGCTGTCAGGTTAAAAATGATGTAGTTAAAAGACATCCCAAGTTACTCTTTTGAATTTTAAAAGGGAAAGAATCTAGAGCCATCAAGAGCTTAGGAAGGTTACCCTATACCTCTGAGCAGCCTGCTGGGAAGCACTGAGATTTACCAAGGTGTACAAAACAGTGGAGGATGGGGAGTTTCACTGGAATTTCACAGTGTGGGCAGCCTCATGAAGCAGCAGGTTTATGTTCTTATTTAACTTCACAGAATCTTGTGCAAGTGGATTGGGCATTAATTGCCCACGATCCTAGTTGCTAAAAAGTTGCATGGCCCTGCTGAGCAAAAAGGCTGAGGGTCATGGTAAGTTGTCCAGGAGGAACTGGGAGCCAGCTCGTAAGGACCGTATCAATAGACTTTCAGGGGAATGTTCAGCCTGGAGAAGGGAAGGCTCTGGGGAGACCTTATAGCAGCATTCCAGCGCTGAAAGGGGGCTACAGGAGAGATGGGGAAGGACTTTTTACAAGGGCATGTAGCGACAGGTCAAGGGGTAATGCATTTAAACTGGAAGAGGGCAGATTTAGATCAGATACTAGGAAAAAATTCTTTACTGTGAGCATGGTGAGGCAGTGGCCCAGGTTGTCCAGAGAAGCTGTGGATGCCCCATCCCTGGAGGGGTTCAAGGCCAGGCTGGATGAGGCTTTGAGCAACCTGTGCCAGTGGGAGGTGTCCCTGCCCATGGCAGGGGGTGGAACTCGATTATCTCAGAGGTCTCTTACAACCCAATCTATGGTTCTACAATTCTATAATTCTAAATCCATGGGACCTGATGCCACAAGCGCTGACACAGCTGGCTGACATCATTGCAAGGCCACTCTCAATTATATTTAAAAGGTCATGGTGACTGTGGAAGGTTCCTGGGGATGTGGTTTCTGTCATAGAAGAAAGCAAATGTCACTTCAATCTTCAAGAAGGGCAAGGAAGAGCCAGTCAGGCTTACCTCAGTTCCTGAGAGGTGATGAAGCAAATTCTCCTGGACGCTATTTCAAAACATGTGAAGGACAAGAAGGTGACTGGCAGTAGTCAGCATGGATTTATGAAGAGGAAGTCATGCTTGGCTAACCCTGCAGCCTTCTATGATGAGATGACTTGCTCAGTGGATGAGGGGAGAGCAGGAGATGTTTATCTTGATTTTAACCTTTGGCACTGTCTCTGCTTACATTCTCATAGACAAACTGATGGAGTATGCGCTAGATAAATGAACAGAGAGGTGTGCTGAAAATTGGCTGAACTGCCAGCCTCAACGAGCTGTGATTAGCAGCACAAATTACACCTGGAAGCCAGTTACCAACGGAGTGCCCCAGAGTTCAACAGTAGAGTCAACATTGTTTAACCTCTTCATTAATGACTAGGATTCTGGGACAGAGTACAACCTTAGCAAGTTTGCTGATGATACAAAACTGGAAGGAGAGGCTGATACACCAGGGGATTGTGTTGCCATTCAGAGGGACCTCAACAGGCTGGCAGAAACCTCATGCTGTTCAAAAAAAGGCAAATACCAAATTCCAACTCATGGAGATTAACCCCCTGCAACAGCACAGGATGGGGGCCAACCAGTTGGAAAGCAACTTTGCAGCACAGACCTGGGATTTCTGATGGACACTAAGATGCGTGTCAGATAGGAATGTGCCCTTGCAGCAAAGAATGCCAACAGCCTCCTGGGCTGCATTAGGGAGAGTATTGCCAGCAGGTCAAGGGAAGGTGATCCTTCCCTTCCCCTTTGCGCTGGTGAGATGCACCTGGTCCAGCTCTGGGTTCCACAAACAAGAGAGACAGGAACATACTGGAGTGGGTCTAGCAAAGGGCCATGAATATGATTAAGGGATTGGAGCATTTGACGTAGTAAAGAAAGGGTGAGAGAACTGGGACTGTTCATCCTGGGAAAGAGAATGCTCAGGGACGACCTCATTGATGTTTACAAGTACTCAAAGGAGGGAAAATAAAGAAAACAGGAGTCAGACTTTTCTCAGTGATGTCCAGTGACAGGAAAAGTGGCAATGGGAACAAAACAAAATACAAGAAATCTCTTGAACCTTTTCAAGAAAAAGCTTTTTTTTTTTTTAACTGTGATGGTGATCAAACACTAGAACAGGCTGCCCTGAGAGTCTGTGGACTCTCCATTCTTGGAGAGATTCAAAGCCTAATTGGACATAGTCCTGAGCAATCCACTCCAGCTGACCTTGCTTTGAGTAAAGGGCTTGGACTAGAGAATCTCCAGAGCTCCCTGACAATCTCAGCTATTCTGTGACTCTATAATAAAATTATACTCATAAAGAACTACAAAAAAATCATCAGAAGTCATATTGCTTCACAAGCACAAGAAGATGATTTGGATT